CAGCGATGCACCAGTCAACACTCTCAGGCTCCCCTCTAATATGGGGGATATTTGTGGCTGCTGTGAGGCAAACAATTTGATAAATCAGTTCATTGCAGTACACACAATGCCCCTGGGCTTTACACTCAGACAAGGTGCTCCAGCATCTAAGGACTCCAAGAGATATTTGAGAAAACCTCTACTGCACAGTCTCTTTAAGGAACACTAATGTTTTCTTCACATAACATCACAACATTCGTGTTTCTGTGATGGTGTTGGCTAAACTTAACAACAATTAAAGAATAATTTTGTGAGTAAATGTAATCCCAGTCATATCTGGGGGGAATTTAGATGTCTGGCTGCACATACAGTGTTCAACATATTCACTGTAGACTAATGACACATTTATAAATGAGCAATTGTTGTATGTATTACAAGAGTAATATGAAAACATTTTGGTTCCTTTCAGTTTGAGTTATTCTGAACTTTGTTGCAGAGCCTTGATCATACTAAAATGTGACAATAAAATCCAACAAATGTGACATCAAATAGTTGTACAAACCATTATTCATCTCTGAGTGAATGAATTATGAAATGTGTCATCAACCTATTATGAATGCAAAAAGAATTTAACTAAGGAGCTGGTTCCAAAGGGACAGAAGCATCACACACAGTAGCTTCAATTTGACTCTCGTCTAAGGGGACATGAGCGGTGTGCACCCAGCCCAGGTCTCTCTAATGGAGTTCCCTTCTGCCAGGTGTTTGTGTGTAACCTAACAATATAACTCATGAGTGAAAATCTGCCAGTTACAAAGAGCCTTTCTTGCTGTAGCCCCTCTGACCCATCATCAATATAAGCTCTAATAGTAACTAATCTTACTGTTATTTAACATGGTCCACTGTCTAATTCATTTCAGATTAAGTATACAGCCTCACTGATTAAATGTGGTCGGAAGAGATCCATCCATAGCCTTTCGTGAAGTTCTTGATTACATCTGCCATGATAACTTCCTGGTAATGTGAAAAAATAGGGAAGAAAGCCAGATTTCAGAAAGTTGTGAATTGCTTTGTGCCAGGAAGATATATATAATCACTTTTACTGGCCAAGTATGTTACACAGACAAAGAACTTCTCTCCGGTACAGAACCAAGGCAGCCATCTACGGTGCCAGCTCTCTCTCTCACACACACACACACACACACACACACACACACACACACACCAATGACAGTCCTGTCCCTGTACTGGCCATCAAGAGCAACTTGGGGTTCAGTGTCTTGCCCAAGGACACTTCAACATGTGGACTGGGGAGAACTGGAATCCAGTCACTGACCTTCCAGGTGGGGGACAATCGCTCTACCTCCTGAGCCACAGCCACCCCAGTAAAGGCTAAAATTGATGGCGCATCCTTTGGTTTTATTCTTGGCCCTAGAGATCTCTCTGACTGGCCCAGCTGGTACAGACACTAAAAGATGGATTACAGACAAAAATGAGCGGCGTGAAACAAAGAAATTCAGCATCAATGCTATCAATCACATTGATCCTAAACTGCATTTTGTAGCTCTTAATTTGTTACACAAACTGTAATTATGGACACAGCTGAATAGAGGCTTGTATCTCTTTTGATCCCCACTGACAGTGCTTATGTTGAGTTAATTGAGCTCATATCCCAGGATACATGATGAGAGGCTGTAACATTACCCGTTTCCTGCATGCAGCTCATTGGGATGCAAGGGCAGTGCTGGCAGAGTAAACTGCGCCTTGGCAGAGATGCTGAGCAGCTGCTGTGCTGTTGAACTTCCCAGCCATAAATCCCCCCACACTCCACAGGGCACACAGCCACACCTGTGTATTAAGTTGAAAGACAGCTAAATTCAATCTGCCCCTGCGTGCCGTGTCATTGAGTGAACTTGGTCCATCGACATTTGTGCTGTGCCCATTGTTTATTCTCAGTTTTTTTTTTAAATACCCATTTTTTTACAGTGTGAACCCAATTAAGCCACCTCCTCCTTCACTCAAAATCTGAACAGTTTTCCCAGAGCAACATCCTAACTCTCTCAGTTACAGACATAAGCACGTAATAACCTGAATATCCTTTTATTCTTTTTAAAGATAATACAATTAGTCACTGACTCATTGAGTATACTTAATTGTTCATGTAGCCTGTTGATATCAGCTACTCGCTGCTTCACACGAGGACAGCAGGTAAACAGCCTCTTTCAGAAGCTTGCTCCTCATTCTGCTTCCCAGCTCAGTGTGATATGACTTTGATTGTCTACTTGCAATTTACCCAGCAACTGCCAGCTCTCTGTCTTCACCACATCTCATACAGACCTTTTCTTAGATCTCAATGGATTGCCTAGCAACCTTTTCCCTCAGTACAAATACCAATCTGTGCACTGAGCAGTGCAGGGTGACCAATATAATTATTATGCAAGGAAGACTAACAAGAAATGTAACATCCTAAGAAACAGTTCAGTTTGGACAAACATACTGTATACAGTACAGTACTAAAACAATAATGATCAATATGGTTGAATGCTTATCTGTGTTATTCCTAGCCCCATGATACTTCTACAAATTATGCAGTTTTTCCTTTCACCAAAATGGTGTCTGCAAGGATTAGTGATATTCTTCAGGTGTCTTCCCTTTTCTTCTACTTTTAAATGATATGTGAACACAGCCTGCGGCACCTTTAACAGGACTATGTGATCATACTTCTGCCTTCTAGCAAGAGATAGAAGGACGACCTGGAGAAGTGGCCTCAGATAGCAGGTAGAAATTAGGTTAGCTGAAATGCTTTCAAGTTCAGGGACAAGTTGTGCTCATTGTGGATACATCAACCACTAAGCTAAACTAAAATTGTGGCTTTAACAGCAGTTAACTGAACATACCGTAAACTGAAGACAAAACCAAGCGCTCATGTCCATAATGGTACTGTTTTCACACAAAGCCAAAAGAATTGAATTGGCTATATATTATCTCTACTTTACAAGGTGGTGTCCATTCTTTGTTAACAAAATACTTTGAGTCTTATCCCTATGACAATAATGAAAATGTGTTTATTGCCGTACCTTACCACTGGTAGCCATTGAATCAGTAATGTAGCCAAACATACTACTGTACATAATCCGAGGCCACATCTTCAGGGCGTCCACTGCTTCAAAAGCAAAATGCAGGAGTAAGAGGTTGTTTTTTTCATGTAATTTATTTCTCAAAAACTCTAAAATAAGGGAATATACCTGCATGGGGGCCAACCATATCAAGGTGATCACTGACTTTCTTTGTAGTAAGTCAATCAGTGCTTGCTTAAATTTTGCAGGGTGTGTATGAGCTGGAACAGAGACTGCTGATGAAGCTGACCCAAATTTAAACTGCAGCTAAATGTGAAAGTAGAATAAATCATTTATGAGATGTGGATTGATTGAGAATTTTCACATTATATAACACATGCCGCAAGTGTAATCCTGAAGGGAGCACGTATATGATAAATTAAGTGGCATTCAGCCTTAATACAAACCACACAGCACAACACCAGCTTAACCATATCTGTTCTTATCATAAATGATTTTTATATTGGCACTGTGGGAGGTGGATTCAGAAACTATTTTAATAGCGGCATCTTACCCTGCCTTTCAGGTCTCAGCTATGAGAGCAGAGACAGTGCCAGCTGTTGCTACAGTCAGAGATTTTTAAACTCAGTTTCATTGTTTGCTGACATTCTTTGTTGGAAAAATAAAAAGCCTTGCATTTCTTTTCCACACTGCTACCACACACACTTCCACTGAACCATCATCCTGCATGAACTCTGGTTTTGGTGTATCAACATGTCTTTTCCCAGTTGTGTTTTCTTAAAGCCCTGTTCTGTACAGACAATCTGTGGAGTCAAGGAAAAGCCTATACTGGATTTTAGTATTACTGTATTCTTTATTACTATTATTTCAAATGATAAATATGTTTTTAATAGAAAAACATTAATAACACAAAGGCCTATCTTTTTTTTTATAAAGTCACATATAAGCAGGAATTTTTAAATGGTCCCTAATCAGAGATTAGTATCTTGCACAGAGTTACTCTAGGTGCTCCTTCCCATCACACTGTAAAATGTCTTAAATTAGGATAACTTTAATTTGTAAAATAGAGGATTTTGTAGATGGATATAATTGTGAAATGTTTTAATTCAAGAGGATTCCTAATTAAAGAGACTTAAAACTAGATAAACGAGGCATCAAAAAGTGGCGGCACCTTTGACCCTGAAACCTATCAGGAAAGTAGTTGATTGCCCTGTGATTTGAGAGGCAGTTTAAAAATAAACTAACAGCAGCAGTGTCATAGTGGGCCTGTGAAATGGTAAGGGTAATCGCAAAGTGTGGGCATAGCAGCAGTGTATCTCCCCGGGGAAATCAATAGCTTTCACAGCTGCCCTGCCAACCAGCAGTTGCTGCACAACTCCGAAATGACAGGGCAACGTGCAAGCGGATGAAGACAGACAGAAACTTGAGCTCGACCTTAAATCAAAATACTTCAAAACACCATAACCTCATGGACTGAGAGAAATACACTACTGTCTCAAGTGCAGCTGAGCATGACAGCATGCACAGTATAGCATATACTTTCTACCCTGCATGTTTGAGATGAACAGCACATCTGTAAAGAGTTTTATAAGGTAAATATTCCCACTTTTTATTTGTTCTGCGCCCAGGAGAGGAATATAGGTTAGACTAAGCCAAGAGCAAAAACATCTGGCCTGATTTGATTGGATTTCAGATCATTTGAACAAACTAGTATAGAGAGTTTTTAGTGCACAAAGTACATCTAATGTAAATGCAATCATGACTTTTTACACTTCTTCTACCCTTTTCTTTACTGTGATTTTATGAGTCTTGTAAATGTTAATGAATCCCACAGAAATAATATCACCAGATGAAATCAGTGGAACAGAATGAGGGATGAGAGGATTTTAATCCCACATAATATCAAGTGTTACATTGTCTGGCCTTCTTTGACAGCACAGAGGAGGCAGAAAATAGCTTGTGTCCGCTTTCTGAAAAAGTGCCAACACATTGTCAGAAGGACCAATATATTGTCCAAACAGATAAAATATCAAGCGAATAACAAACCAAAAAACATCTCTTGCCATTACCTTGACACTTTTCATTTCTGAAAATTAAGTCTGTGATAGAATCGAATATACCACATACTGAAAATAACAGCCAGTCAGCCTCTGCACAGAGCTCGTTGTTTCTTCACTGCCCAGGCTTGGACACAGTTCTTTTTCCTAGACACCCTGTGACATGAATGTGCATGCACAAAATTGTGAAGAGTTGTGTGTTTTTGTTTTCTTCAGGCTCTTCTGGTTGACACTTTATTATAGGCTGAGTCATTTCAAGCCTTCACATGACAGAATGTCTTGATTAGAAAAGTTTGTTTGCATCACAAAATCTTATCATGACCTGAAAAGTCATCAGTCAGCCCTTCTGCTTTAGACTCCAGCCTTCAGAATGAAATATCTCATATGTCTCTTGTGTTTCTATGAGTCACACGGTTAATTTGAGACGTGCTGTGGGTAAAAATGTTCCTAGTTTGTGGGTAAGGTTGTAGAGACAGAACAGCTCCAGATGTAGTTATCGATTGAAGTATCATGAGTCATCAGCCTGTTAGTGTGAAGGCATGTGAACACATAAGTCTGAATACTAATCTGTTGCATTTGCTGCTCCTGATTCTCAACACTCTTCCAAACACTCGAAGTGACTGCGGTATATGCAATTTATCAGCGTCGTTAAACTGTTTTGGGTGTGCAGCTACAGAGCAGTGAATTTTCCAGCAGAGTGAATCTGTCATGTGTTACATGAAGTTGTCATACACAGATAATGATATATCTTCTGTGCTGCCTTTATTTAAAAAAATCTTTTTACAGGGGAACACTAGACATTTACAAAATGCCTGTTATTGAGGATTCATTGAAAATCTGACATACAAGCGTGCAGTTGTGCACAATGCATCATTCTTTTATGATTATGATGTCAGATGGCTGCTATTATATAATCAGCTTTGAAATATTCAGATTGCAGCTTATGCATGATTGGAGATGGACACAGTTTTGATAATGAGCTTGAAATATGACAGAATATTGAACATATTATGCCCCCCCCCCAACACACGCACAAAAAATAACAGGGAAATACAGGGAAAGTAACATTTACATAAAAAAAAAACAAAAAATAGATAATTTTGTAAAGATAGTTTAATTTGTTATGTCCCACATTTAAAGGCTTTTTATTTGATTACCAAATCAATACTGCAAAAAGCCACAGAACAAATTAGGCCTCAACTGACTGCTTGCTAAATCTGGCCCCTCTTGTTTGTTGCTTGTCAAGCTCTTTGTTTTCATGTTGCAGTTTACTTTCATATTGTTGAGCAAATTTACCTCTTAAAACTATTAGTAATTTTTTTTAATCAATGGGTCCTTGATTTCAGGCTGTGGTACACAAGCTTCTCTTTTCCCAGCTGACATGACAACTGTTGTTGGTAGATTTCATCATCTGTAGGTGGATAGCATATTAAGCTAGCAAAAAACCCTTTACTCCTTGATGACTACATATTCGAAATGACATGATGCCAAAAAGACTGAGGCTAAAGCTACAAACATGTCCCAGGCAAAAATTCTGCATCCTCTGCTGATAATCAATGTAGAAGTTATGGAAATAAAGAAACAGCATTGTTCCTGTATTGTAATATAGAGCTATTTTTTCCTAGCCATATGGACACAGTACTGGATATTAAAACTATAGTACATAACTTTTTTTAAATATGTTTGATGTAGACATCTACTCTAGAATTTGACTTAATGTGGAGAGTTGCTGTCGAACCCTCCTGTGACCAGACTCGTTGTACAACACGGGCAGCAGTGCAGAAATATTAACTTCTAAAATGTTTTTGAGTTGCATTGCCTTCTCTAACCAATCAGAGAACTTCACTTATTTTTACCTGATGAGAAAAGTTTGCATCCTCGTTTACTGTAATTTCATAATGACAAATAACTGCAGAGCTGGTCAGAGCTGGGCAGAGCATGACGGAGTGTAGCAGATCATAGTAGAGCATAGTGGAGCAGGGGGAGTGAGTGCTGGGTGGAGCAGAGTGGATTGATTTAGAATTTTATGCTAGTGCTACCTAAAGTTACATACTATAGCTTTAAGTACTCAATGAGAGTGATTGTACATTTTTACTTTTTAAAATCTTAACCCTGTTTGGCAGCTTTGTTGGTCATACAAGACAAATGTTAGACTGCAGATAAACACCATTTAATCAGTCTTATACTTCAGCTCTTGTGTTTATGCTGAAAAGACAAAAAAACATGACACCTCCTAACACTTTATATACTGATGATTACGCTTCCAGCTCCGTGCCAAAGGTTTCAACACATGCAGAAATCCAAAGCTTGATGGGCCCCAGTGTCTGTTTATGGTTGTTAAAATACAACTGTACAATTGCTGTTCAGGGGACTGGTTTAGCTAACGGTCACTTACTAGCTGCCAGGTGTTCCAAATTTATCAGATTTAGCTTTCCCCATGTTCATGGCACACTATTTGTGTGTGAAGACCACAGAGCTGCTGTCTATTAAGGACCTTACTTGGAAACTGCTCTGTACACTAGCTTTACATTCCTGAAAGCAACATAAAAGTCTATGAGCCAAGTAAACTGTATTATGTCAGATAACGGTTACACACAGTCACAGGATTAGACCAAAGCAAGTGAAAGTTATCATCAGGGTCTTGATCACTAAGGCAGAAACCAGACACATATCATTATTAAAACATCTTGCTTTCAGTGCTGTGCTTTTCAGTCTCAGCCATAAAAAACAGCTGTTAGTCAGTTCTTTGAGTTGATATACCACTGATCTTGATGAGCCACTCTTACTGGTCATTTACCACGGTTTATTTAACATATATTATAATGCAACATCTTGTAAAAAGCACACACATAGACAATCAGATAATTGGTTGAACCACACAATTTACAAACAAAAGCATTAACTACAGGAGTGACTCAAGCGGATGATGAAAAGTAAATATTGAAATGTCCCAGTGCACCAAGATGCTTGGTGTTTTTCATCTGTTTATTTCTCAGCTTAATTAAATGAATTACAATGCAATCAACATCACAAATCATTAATAAAACCAAGAGTCACCATGTTAATAAAACTTACTGCTGGCATGAAGTGTAGGCTGTACATGTTATAGGACAATTACTGTCTGTTATTTTCTGGCTTGTTTCTCTCATCTTGGGTAATTTCATTTGAATGGTTCATTTCTGGGGATGAAAAATGCTGCAGGAACTTGAGTTAGGGAGAAACCTCTGACGGACAGTGTGATCAGAAAAAGCAGCGGAAAACCTTTTAGCTTAGTTGAGCATTCATTTGTTCTGCAACTCAATTGATTATCAAGCTGTTTACACCAGCTTGCATGTGATTACTTTACCTGTTGCAGCTGAGGGGTCCCCAGATTAGGAGAAGTCAAGGAAATATGTTTAATAAGATTAACAAATCATTAAATTATTAGCCTTAATACTCCTTGAGAGGCAGAGCAGAATGTGAAAAGTCATGCTGCTGTTCAGCCTCCTTTGTTAATTGAGGACACTGAGGGTCAGGTAGGTCAGAAGCTCACTGATTAATACCACTGCACTGCTTTATTTCCACTGAGAAATATTTTCATTTTCATTACCCTTGGTGCAGGATGCTCTGCTGTAGATTAATAGTCTCCTTTGCTTCTTTACCAGTCCCTGTTCCCTCCCACTCAACCTTGTGTTTCATTTGAGTGGTCCACTGATTCCCTGCAGCAGACTTACAGTGGTTTGGACACAGAGCTTCAGTGTGCACAGCTCACTGGTGAAGGGAGTGGGTCTGGGGGCAAGGCAGCACAGGCTCAGAGGGGACGGCAGCCATCAGGCCTGGGTGGTACCCTGCTGGCCTCAGACCTCCCAGCGCCTGAACTGGGGGCTCCATACCCAAGTTGAGGTGTAGCGACAGGCGGGCATGACAATAATCCAGAACAGACTGCTCACACCTGTACAACGTCAAAGCACTCAGCTGCCGTGGTATCTAGACAGAAACAGAAAGCAGGGAAGAGGAGACAAAAAAAGAAAGCACACATAAGCCTTCGGAATCAGCCAAAAAAAAAAAAAAAAGAGCCTCCTTTTCAACATTTCATCCACTCTCAGAATATTTGGAATTGGCTTAATTTACTTCATGCAGTGGTGGCACAGCGTTGCCATTAATGCAGCCTTGGCCGGTGATACAGTCCGTGCCCTAAGACCTGGCATCTGTGCTGCTCAAACACCCTCTTTCTGTTGGAGTGATTTATATGCAAGATGAAAGCCTTAAGCAAGAGTGCGCACATATTTTCTGCCCTCTTTTAAATGGAGTCAAGGCTCCATTTAGAAGAGAGTGCTTATTACATTACAGGCACTTTGCTGATTCAAAGACCTCTCTTAGTTTTATGTGCTAGTGTGGCCTGAATTATGTCAATTAAAAGGAATAAAGCTGCATCACAGACTGTGAAACTGATATTAATATCCTAATGTCAATTAATGCATTCACAGAAAATATGGAAGCATTCATGCATCCTGAAATGCACAAAGAAAAATAAAAAAAGTGTACAGAAACATTCATATGCATCAGATCATGCAGCACTTGAAAGTCTCCCAGTCCTGACAGTGTACTCTACATTTTTGCCTTCTTATTTTAGCAGTTATTATTCCAATCAATAATAATCACATTCACTATGTTGTTTTAAAGTGCCTCATAATGAATTCACATACTAAAGTAATACTTTTACTTATTTGTCTTACTACTTGTACCAGCTGTACAGTGAAACCCACCATAGTTTATTCAAAGTGCTTGTGAGAAAAATGACAGATCACCGTAATATGTGTTGTGGGCAGAACATCTATGGTAAAATATGGTGTCTTGGATTATTTTATTGGATTGTAAAAGGATTTATTTAAAGCTGGTCGGATGCAAAACAAAATTGCTTTTAGGTTTTTTTTTCTCTTTATTAGAGCACGTTTCACAGTGCTGTAACCATTCAGCTTTCAAAAAGTAATGTTTTCTTTCTGGCAATGATCCAGCTCCATTTGTTCTCCACATTAATAGGAAGATTAGTTGAAGACACTCCATTGTCTAATTCAACAGCTGAACTTTGCCCATGACTTCAGAGGACTTCATAAAAAATTCAAGAACAACAATGCTCTGAATTCAAAATGAAATAAGAAGAGGGGGGAGGGTCTGGCTCTGAAAGTTCTCGGGACAGATTGTCGGGGGGAAGGATACACTGTGGACTAGTTTTCTCAGATTATTGCAGTAGTTAAAGTCAGACATGTACGTGCTGACATCGGTATAAATGCAGTTGGTTGGCTGGTCGAACCAGCAGCTTCCTCTCTCTCTCTGTGGACAGCAGCAGTTGGCAAAGCACTTACAACATTTGTCTCTTCAACATTTCTTGCATCCTCCGTTTAACTCCCACATTGCCAGTTTATCCTGGCTGAAATTTAAAAGTGCTATTAAATAAACCGAGCTGCACTTACTGAGATAATACAAGGCTTTTTTTAAAGCCTGATATCACTGCTAAACTCTAGGGACCTCTACAGATTTGTAAATATATAAATACACCATTAGAAAGGTATAGTGCTATTCTTATATACTTCTCACTATAAACAGTATGAATAGTCCAGATGGCAAAAAATACCTGTTGAGACTTCTTAAACATGTGATCTTTGTTTTGGAGTAAAGTAGCATTTTTGTGTTATTCATAACTGTCAACAGGGAAAGTGAAAACTGCAATGCAAAGCTTTAAGAGTGACTACTTGTGTGTTGTGTCAGGTTATTTCTGTAGTGTATTCTGCTTACCGCCACTGTACAGATTGATTAAACCTTCTCAGCAAACCTGACACAAGCAGCTCCTCACTTTTTATCATTATGTTCAGCCCGGAGCAGATGCATCAGTGTCAAACTTTGTCTCTGTTTGCAATTTACTGTTTGGAATTGGACCTTTTTAGACTTGAAAAAGTTAAGGAGTACTTATACATTAACTGCAACATTGACCAAGGAAATAGCAGAGTATCCAAACTGTGCCAATATCGAACTTGTTTGTCTCGCCTGGGAGGTACAGTGTGATGTGGGGTGATGCCTCGGCTTAGACTTAACGCTGTAACATTCTGACATCTAAGTAGTTGCACTGCAAACTCATTTCCAAAATAGTATGCATGCAAATTTTTAGTATGTCTGATATAGATCTGTATGCTACCTCCAAAGCATACTAAATCCAGTTGTGTAGTACAAAACAACAAAGCACATACACATATGCACATGCACATACTGCACTATCCCACCCAGCAGGTTTGGCGGTAAAAAACAACCACACTTTACCATGACCTTTTTCTGTTTTCTTATTGCCTCCTCCTAAAACACTTTAGTCAGTTGCAGCCTTTTCCAGCACTTTGCTTGAACTGTCACCTAACGTAGCTTACATAAAGCGCACTCTCCACCTGCAGTTCAGTAAGTTACACCCGTCTTTCACATGGACAAACTATAATTTCTATTTCATGGGGTCTTTAATTTTTAGTAAGGCCCTATCTGTCGGGAATACTGAAACCCACGACTTGCTCCTGATCAGCCCTCTGAAGACACACTTCACAATTAATGTACAATTCATTTTATGAATTCATTACAGTGGGTGTTCTAGAGACATTACAGAATTAAACAGAGACAGAAACATCACTGAATCAGTAACTCTTCAGCACTCACCATTGAGAATGGGTTTCACTGAAACAGTGAGTGAAGAATGGGATGTAAAACAGCAAGTGGTGGAAACTGAGTTTGCACAACAGCAGTATGAGCTCCTCTAATGACCTTTTTTCAAAGCCTTCTGCTCTGCTGCTCTTGTACGTCTTGGAATGTTCTCATGGATGCTATTTAACAAGACTAAGCGGGTGGTTAGACACAGAACAGACACAGGATTTTACAGCTGAAAAGAAATTATTTTAATGTATTTTTTTACTGTGATGATTACAAGGTGAACAGTACAGCTTTTCTGTTTTAAATAATCCAGCTAGAGTGTACAGCAAAAATTGAACTAGGTTCAGCATTTTTCCTGCACAAACCTCTATTTTGGAGCCCCCTCTGTGTTGGTTCCCCTCCACTGTGGTGCCACACTGGCCTCAGTCAAATGAATGAGGAGACTGAGGTTTAAGCCTAAGAGAGTGTGAGGCTAAGCAGAGGCGCTGAGCCAAATGCTAATGGCAGCATGGCAACATAATGGCCCATAATGACAATGCTAAAATGCTAGTGTTTAGCAGGTAGAATATTTACCATGTTCACCATCTTAGTTTAGTGTGTTAGCATGCTACAGTTTTCTAATTAGTGCTAAATACAAAGCTGAGACTGTTAGGGAGGACATTAATTCTACAGGTCTTTGGTCATAAACCAAAGAATTGGACCTAATGACAGATGCCATGACCACCACGAGCAAAACAGTAACAAAACAATAATGGTGAAGGTACGGTTGATCACTATAGAGGAATAAGACTGCTATAATTATACCCTAAGCTCCATAGTTACACATATTTGCATTAAGATCTAGTTGTTAAACACTGCTGTCCTATAACCTCAAGGGCACATTTTCAGTTCCTACAACATCCTACTATATTTCAGTTTGCCAACCCATTATTATGTCATCTCCTCCGGTGTTTTTGTGAAAAATACCAGATAGCTTTTCTCACCCACTGTCAGTCTCTCTGGATAAAAACATCTAATAATGACTAAAACACAATGTGTCAGAACAAAGTCAATTAACTTAATGTCAGTTCTGTTCAAAAATGTGATGAAGTGTTGATGCAGCTGACAGTCGTTACATTGCGATAAATGTTGTTTTATGTTATGACAGTATATCTCACAGGTCAACAAACCCTTCACACTAAGCAGACAGTCTTTCCCCTGTTGCTCGTGAGTAAGTCTATATATATTTGCATTTCTGAAGCTGTGAACTAAAACAGGATCAGTTTCAAGTCTTAGCATGCAAGAAAAGAATAAAAGCATTGCCAATCAAACACGACCAAGTCAGCAATCAGGTTTAATCAGAAATATTGGGAAAATGCTGCCTGTTATGGCTGGAGCTCTTAGAGAGGTGAGTCACTGGCTAGCATAGCTTGGACAGCTGCCAACAGAGCTTTTTAGGGCTGAACACTGCATACAGTCAGATTTTGCCTGAGGCAAGATCACCATGTTTCGTCAACTTTAATGGCTCAGGAAGTCCTTTCCAATCTAGCTGTGTGCTACACAACCAGATAATATAGGATGAATTCAAACCTCTTGATTACAATAGCTATCTAAGAACAGCATTGTTTCCTTTCCAGAAGTGGAAGTTGTTATTCAGTGAGTCACTGGCTACTGGCCAAGGTAATAAAGCAGGCATCTGGCATCAGCCCGATTCAGTTTTCACTTTACTGTATTTTAACTGTCTAAACTATAGCTCCACCTATTTACGCCAGGGTGAATTTAGAGAATATATTGATTGTTCTGTGCAAAGGCTGCTACCTGTGGAAACCGCATTTTTGTTTCAGCCTCTGTATTATATGTTTATATGGTGGAATGAATACAAAAGGTTAAAACATCCCATTAATGTTTTTTGGGGGAAGTTGGGGGGGGAGGTTTTTCCTCTCAGCTCCATACTCATTGTCTATCACTGAAAACCTCTGGAGTTTAGTGTGTTAAGAAATTATATCTTCTCAATTGGTCTGGGAATTGTTTGGGGTTTCAAGTGGCAACAGCTATTAACAAGAACAATAGTAATTTTTTATTTCTTATTTTATTTCATTTTCATCTAGTTGTTTGAGCGTTGACACCACAAAAGGTGGCATTGTGATTAAAAAAACAACAGTTAAACAAAACAAAAACAAAAATATAAATCAAAACAAAGGAGGAAACTGCCTAAAATGCAAGTTGGTGAAAATAAATTACAGTAGGCTGCACAAACAGAAACAACTGGAGAAGTGATCATGTGGTTTACATATACTTTTCTCACTTTCTCTCAGCAAAACATGAAC